ATCCAGCCCTGCACCTTGTTGTCTCGACCTCACTGATGCCTGGTGGTCTCGCCATCTCCCTCTTTCTGTCAAACCCATGCCAGAAAACTGCCCCAATCAGTCAGCTCAAAGTGGCACACAGGAGCTGCCAAGAGGACCCTGTGTAAACTGGGCAGAAACACTGGGCATCTGTCAACAGAGCTGCACATTCTCACATTGCTCTTGAAAGTGACAGTGAGCTTCCTCGGCAAATTTTTAGAGGTGAGTTTGACAGAAGGGAGGGCATGCCTCAAGGTCATCCTTCGCCGGGTACACCTCACTCCACTGACAAACCTGCCTACAAAGATTTGCTGAACTTGGCTTTTTTCTCTGAAGTTGCATCTCTTCAACTGAGTATCCAGCAGTGAAGATAGCAGCAACAGTTACAGGTGGACATTGCCTCGCAAAAGTCCACAGTCAAAGATCAGGCATTGGGAAACCGGTGCACGTTCATAGAATTATACAATCCCTACAGTGCAGAAAGAGACTGTTCAACTCATTCAGTCTGCACCGACCCTCCGAACAGTATCCCACCCAGACCCAGTCCCCCACCCTATCCCTGTAACCCTGCATTTCCAATGGCCAACCCACCTAGCCTGCACATTTTTGGCCGCGGGAGGAAACCGGAGCACCGGGAGGAAACCCATGGAGACACAGGAGAACATGCAAACTCCACTCAGAGAGAGGGTAGGATCAAATCTGGGTCCCTGGCACTGTGAGGCAACAGTGCCAACCATTGAGCCACCGTGCCATGCCATGTTACTGGATAGTGATGTCAAAAAAAACTCCTGACATAATCAAGCATCCAAGAAACTTGGTGAAAAGTGTGGATCCTAAAGGTTGACTAAATAGTTGGCTAAATGATCAGGGATCACTTGCTCCATTTGTGTAGATGCGCCTGAATCCATTCAGAGCCCCATTCAACATTAGCCCAACCCTCTGGAAGGGGTGAGAAATGTTTCTTCTCTCTTTCTTCGGTCTCTTCCCAATGCAAACAGGTGGAGGGGTGCATTGATGCCATTTTTTAGCTTCTGCGGCTGGCACTGGGACCCAAGCTCCAGGAGGCAGTGACAATGCCACCTCCTGTTTCCTTACTCGCTCACCTGAAGCAATGACTTGCCACCATTCTGCAAGTGAGGTCAGAGTAACACCCACATTTGCTGCCCAAGGCCACATTCTGCTGGGCAAACCTTCTCTTATTTGGAGCCCCTTCAACATTTAAAGGATTTTCCTTCACTGTGGGCCACCTGGAGTAATACACCAAGCCAGGACATGAGTGCTGTGCCCCTTATCCTGGCACTATTCAGTCGCGGGATGGCAGCTGTTGCTCAGGGCATCCAAGCTGCCAGCCGGGCACTCTTCCTTTCTCCCGTCTTGGTGCATAGGGAGACTACAGCCACAACACAAGGCACAATGCAGTCCAGAAGTGAAAGACGGGCACAATGCACTGCCTGTAGGGCTATCCTGAAGATTTAACCCGAGGCTTCTCCTCACCTGGTCTGGTGCCTGCTATCACGGGCAATGGGTGATGTGTGAATGCCATCCGCGAGGATACCGTTTGTGAAGGCGTACCGCTGCCGAACTCGTGTTTCGTTGACTTCTTTAAGGAAGTGGGAGATGTCATCCCTGGGAACAAAATGATCAACACGTCAGAGATGAAGCCCTGTCCATGCCGACCCACCCCATCATCAACTGACCCATTTGGCCCAGCCATATGGGAGATCCCAGACAACGGAGACCGTAAAATTGACATCAGGGATTGGAACCCACAGCATCCTAGTTGGACACAATGGGCTTTGCTTAGTCTCCTCAATAATTTATACCATTAGCAAACGTTCCGACCACAAAGCTGCCTCATAGCAACTTTGTCCTGGAATATAGAAACAGCCAGAGACCACTCAGCCCCTCAAAGAAATGGATCCTAACTCTACCTGTTGTGAAGGAGCAATAGGACCCTGGGGCAATCTTGCAGTGATGTCACGAAGCTGCACATCACTAGGAATAAATACCACAGTGTGGGCGGAGATAAAACAATGTGTAAAAAACACTGCAATGTGTGATTCTCTGAAAAAGACACATGGAACACATTGACATGAATACTCAAAAAAGACAGATTGGTTATTATCTAATGTAACTATCAGTCAGAACCTGGTATGACAGTTTCGACGTAAAATTTAGCATGAAGTTTATTAAATAGTGTTATTTTAAGAATAAGCCTGAAGATAATTCTTCACCATTCCTTCTCCTTGATCAGTCGGTCTTGAACCCAACACTCAAAGAAACATGCGCCACAAGCTTATCTTCCCCGATTTGATTCCATACTCCTCAACTGCAGTTTGGAAATGTTTAAGTAGCATCCTAATGTCAACTGGGGATTTGGGGTGAGTTCTGGGTCTGCCTTTCTGTGAGGAAACATTTCCAGACATCACCCTGAATGGCCTAAATGACACACTAAAGTTTTGCCCCTATTCCTGGATTCTCTCCAATGAAAAGTGACACAGACTTTCTAAGGCTTTGGAAATGAGATCAACAAAATGACCAGTCAGAGATGAATGGGGACTTCAATGATATGTGTAACTTAGCTTTGGAAGAAGAAACTTAGCAGCAACTCTTTCAACTTGCATTCATACAACACTTTTAATGTATCAAAATCCATTGTCATTTTGTGGTAGAGAGCCTCAGGATTGCTGAAAAAAGACATGGCTTGTTGAAGCTTTTAATCTTGCACTCGTCAGGACACTTTGCAAGAATTCCAATAAAGGGGAAAACAATATTTATACTGTATGAGAATACAGTACTGATTGGTTGACAAGTGCACTCTGATTGGTAGAAGCATTGTGTACTTGTGTGTAATGGAAGCTACGTACATTAATATACAGGACCCTGTTGCTATGCAGACAGGCAGAACATGTAAAGGCACCACACGCATTTCAACTCAAACAAATTGGTGTTTGGCATTTTCTGGGTTATTTCTCAGTTATCATTCAGAGTCAATTTGCTTTGTTTAAAATTTAGGCAAAGCCTGGCAGTTAACTGTCACTAAGGTTTTGGAGTAGATTTGTAGCTCTGGTTGTGGGTGTTGTGGTTGGTTGGCTCACCGAGCTGGTTTGTTGTTCCACAGATGTTTTGTTACCCTGCTGGGTGACATCTGGGTTAACTGTCAGTCATGATCCAATTGGTGCTCTGTCCATCACAACACCTCTACCTGTCAGAGCCACTTGCCAACCAATCAGCTCCTTTCACACCGTATTAATGCTTTTTTTCCTCCTTTTACAGTGGCATTCTTGCAAATTGTCCTGATGAGCAGAAGCCAAAAAGTTTCAACAAAATATGTCTTTTTCTAGGAAGTACTCACATGTTAAAGCATCTCAAGACACTTCACAGGAGAATTAGCGAGAATAATTTGAAACTAAGCCACATTGAGAAATACCAGGAAAGGTGAACAAAAGCTTGCTCTAAAAGATAAGTTTCAAGGAGTGCCTGGTGAGAGAGGTGACAGGCTGAGAGCTCAACATGAACAGTGACGACATTGCCTTCTAAGCAATTTATGACATTCTGAGGTGGTGAAAGGCACTACAGAAATGCAAGTCTCTCTTTACTTTTACAGACAGAATTTTGGAGCCACCACTGCCTCTGGTGGAGTGAGGAAAATCAGGAACATGCAAGAGGCCGGGATTGGAGGTGTGCAGAGATCTGGGTGGGCACAGAGGCTGTTGGGGGTTACAAAGATAGCAGGAAGAGAGGCCAAGCAATTTGCAAACCAAAGTTAGTATTCTTAAAGTCGTGTCCTGCCAACTTACAGAGGCAAAGTCAGTCAGTGAGGTCAGCACAGGGGCGATGGGAAAACAGGAGTTGGCGCAATGGCTGCTACAGGGGGCAGAGTTTTGGAAGAATGAGGAGAATGGGAGATGGGATACTGGCTGAGTATTGAAATAGTAAAGTGCGGAGAAGAGAAGATGTGGATGAGAGTCTGAATTGAGGCATGAGCAGTGATGGGCAATGTTAAGACCTGCAGTTGTGGGGGGGGTCCCAATGATACAGCAGATCTTCATGGTCACTGAATCCTTTCATCAGAGAGTAACTGAAGTCCCCATGGTAAATTAAACTGTACAAGTGTCTGGATGGAATGGGGTTTTTAAGCCAAACAGCTTGGCCCTATGAATAAAGACAAACTCCTAAAGATGATGGAGACTAAAATAAAAACAGAAAATGCTAGAGAAACTCAACAAGGTCTAGCAGCATCTGTGAGACTGAAGAAGGTTCATTGGACTCAAAATGTTTGCTTTCTTTCACTCTCTACAGATATAGTTTGACGTGCTGAGTTTCTCCAGCACTTTCTGTTTTTGGTTCAGCCTTGTTCCATGTTTTTGTTCCACATTCTTCTTTCCCTGTTTCACATTTTGCCCATCTCCCCTGTTTCACCCTTTTACCATCTGCCCATTTCACTATTTGCCCATCACCCTATTTGACTCTTTTCCCATCTCCCCATTTCACTCTTTGTCTATCTCCCAGTTTGACCCTTTTCCCACCTCCCTGTTTCACTCTTTGCCCACCTCCCTGTTTCACTCATTGCCCATCTCCCCTGTTTCACTCGTTGCCCATCTCCCTGTTTCACTCTTTGCCCATCTCCCCTGTTTCACTCTTTGCCCATCTCCCCTGCTCTACCTTTGCCTACTTGGCCCTCTGTCCCTCGCCTCTCTCCTTCTACCACCTTTGTCTTTTCCTACCTGCCTCTCATTCTTTCTTTCCTATTTCCTGCTCACTCTTTCTCCACTGGGTATATCTGGAGCAAAGCAGAAGTGCCAAACAAGGGAGAATACTGTAAATAAAATAACTTACACTGAAAACAGAATTGTCAGTGCGAATCTGCCAGTGATTGCTAGAAACTGCAAAAAAATCATGGTTGCTTCTGGAAAAAGTGACATTTAATCTCTCTATGTGGTTTATGGAGCAGTGGAAAGAACATGTTGTTAGAATTTGCCCTCTGGAATGCACCCAGCAGTCCACCTTTTATGGAAAAGCAAAGCAACACCCTGCACATCAAAAGCCCCAAAGATCCCAACTGCTCATAGGTACGATGGGTAGCTCAAGCACAGATCTGCCCGCAGGGAGTGAAAAATCCACCAGTGTTTACCTTGGCTTCATTGGTGGTCCTCTGGGCCGAGACATAGGGCCGTAGGTTCAAGTCCTCCGTCTCCCAATTGGGACATATTGGGCAACTGGATATCACGAGCCCGGTTTTGTTGTGTGCAGAATGAATTGAACTGAGTATGTTTTGTTTGGAGCAAAAGTAGGAGGTTGACATTAGGTAATGATGCTCCTTTGAAGAGCCAGTGCAGGTACAATGGACCGAATGGTATCTTTCTGTGCTGTGAGACTTGCTGTGATTGACCAGTTTCACTGGCTTTTTGGGTGGAGGCTTGCCTGTGTAATCTGGCTGGCTGCCTCTGCACAATGCTGAGGGAGCTGCTGTCTCTTGGAGGAGGCGTTAAACAAGGCCCCACTGGCCCTCCCAGATGGACCTACTGAAAGATCCCACTGTCCAATAAGCAATGGAGTCTGGTCCAAGATTGCAGCCTCAGGCATTGCAGGCAATAAAATACATTTGAAGCTTCATCACTGTTGTGTTTTATTTCTCTAATCATTTGCGGAATGTGGGCGTCGCTGGCTGGCCAGCACTTCTCGCCCATCCCTAGTTGTCCTTGAGAAGGTGGTGGTGAGCACTGTTATAAGAAACACAACAGCCAATTTGCACACAGCAAGCTCCCACCCCCAAACAGTAATGACAAAATGGTGCTGGTTGATTTTGATTGTAGGCTAAAAGGAGAAACTGCTTCATGCAGTGAGTGGTCAGGATCTGGAATCCATTGCCTGTGAGTGTGAGAGAGGGATTGAGGTATTCAAAAGCGAATTGGATTGTTACCTGAAAAGGAAAAACGTTCAGTGCTACGTGGAAAAAAGCAGCAAAGTGGCGCTGGATGAACAGCTCCTTTGGATAGCCGGCAGACACAATGGACTGAGTGGCCTCCGTCTGTGCGATAACCATTCTATGGCAGGAATGACACTACGTTCCTCTTTGAAATAATGCAATGGGACTTCTTACATCCATCTGACCAAACAGACACGGCATTATACGTCCCAGGGGAAAGAGAACACCTCCAACAATGCTGCACTCTTGCAATGCTGCAGTGGGATTGCGAGCAAAAACTGGATTCTGGAGTCAGACTTGAACCCATAACCATCTGACTCCAAGGCAAGGATATCTACTCAGTGAGCCATGGCCGAACCATTCCTATAAAACGATCACATGGTGGTCAATAACTGCATGGCACATTCCTCCAATATTCCTCCCTTCATTCCTTGTCAATGGGTCACAATTCCTACAAAGAGGAATTCCTGGATTGTCAGATGCTTATATTTTGGCAGATGCTAAAATTCAAGGCTGGAATTCTTAAATGATGAGGAACAATGCTAAGCAGAATTTCACAGTCTCTGAGTTTATTAGAATATAAGTCTGTGTTGGTGGTAAGGAATTTGGAATTTATCTTTTTATTGTTCTTTTCACTGTCCTTAGAGGAATGAATATTATCTGGCCAGACAGTCAGTATAGTCAGTTCAAATTCAGT